TCAAACGAAAATGCTAATTTTGAAATGAAAATGCATTAACAGAAACGTGTAGAATATAGAATATAAGAATGAAGAGAAGCACAGTTGCCTGTCTCATTCTTTTATTCTGTTTATACAGGTTTGTATGGTTAAAACACATGTATAAGTGCATATAAATATTGATAAAATCAAAGGAAACATGCTACATCGCATTGGTAAAGGTAGTTGAACTATATGTGTTTGTGAACTAGTAGATACTATGCGTGGCGATCGTCGTGTCTTTTGTGTTGATTTAAAGAGCCCATATTATGCCCTTTTTGGGGTTCGTATATTTAATCTATGTACTCACTTTTGTACGTTCACAATAGCTAAAGTCCGAAAAAGTGTCTGTTTTCATGTACTGCTCCTCCTTGCTCCCTCTCTGCTCTGAGTCCGTCAGCTACGCTCTGTTGAGCCCAGACTGTTAGACCCCACGTGGGCCAAGTCTGCTCTGATTGGTCTGCCGATCCGCTCTGTCGCTATTGGTCAGTTGCTCAGCACGCGTCTCGGAAATTTCAACATGAGCTGCAGGGCTTGCCACAACGAGCCAATGGCCTTAGATCAGTGATCTCACACTGACAATGACGTCGGACTGACACATTTTTATCGAGGGGGGCTAGAACCGAGCGTTAGATGTAGCTAATGCTACAGCTAACAGGAGGAGGTAGGAGAAGCCGCGTTTCAGCGGACTTTGAATTTTTGCACATACATGTGCCTAAACATGCACAGGACACTTGGAAAACACACTAAAGGGCATATAAAACCAGAAAAAGCATAATATGGGAATTAAATTAGCTCCTGCACATCTCATTTCGAAACAGATATTATATTAACAGTGTGATTAAGTGTTCTGAAGGTTATGGATAGTGTTGTTATTGTCATATGTGTACGGTTTCAATGTTATAAGGAGTTACAGTTGTCAGTCTTCAGCTATTGTACTAGGCACATCGTGCTAGTCTCCCTTTATTTACATCTGTGAGTGAGGTTACATTCAAGGACCTTTTAATAGCCTGGGAAATTATACAACTGAGGTTAATATTGTCCTCAAGTAGTCTGTCTCATTCTTTTCTTCTATTTATACAGAAATTCTCATCTGCTTATAACACTAACAAGTGGCTAAATGTGACTACAGTGGTTGTCGGGGATATTAAACGCCATCACGCCGGACAGATGCCAGGAACTCTCTCACTAGTTGGAGATGTCTCATGTAGGTTTAATCTTTAGGTTAAGGCAAATATTAGGTTAGTAAACAATTTATTAAGCTATGCTGATTAGTTTATCGGAGATCGTCTGAAGCATAACGCTAGTGACGTCACAATCATCCGACCGCGGTGTAGTTTGCTTGTAGCATAACGTTAGCTTTTTACTTCTGTCGGCCCCATTAACGCTTCAAACATCATAAAAATAGTGTTCATCTGTGAAGATTATCCTGCTGAACAAAACGCCTACGCTTCAGTGTTTGCCACAGAGCTTATTTTCTGCAATGATCCAAAATCCAATGCAAAAATTCCATACCCATAGGCGAATTCTCGTTAGAGCCCATGGCGATGCTACTTCCGGGTTGGCCTACAAAAATACGTTATATGGTTTGTTCTCTATAGACAAGATAATTAGCTGAGCCAGGTGTGCCTCGTCTGCTGCTGAGTGCAGAAGCCAGCCACAATCCCTGCCACTCACATACCTGCAGGGGAAAGAAAACAGAAAGGGGAGGGGGAGAAGGACAGAGAGAACAAATACAAAAAACCCTACAGCAAAACCAAACAGAATTATCACAATAATTATATTACAAGAATAAAGAGATACGCTGGAAGAGGACAGCCTTGCCTGAAACCTCTAGAAAGTTTAATTGGGTCAGAAATGTTATTGTTTATAATTGTGCTGGGGGGGGGGGTAAACCTGGGACACGAGCTGTCATGAATCTAAAACCTTATTCATGCTTCTTGTGGCCGGCGAGCATGGTCCCTGCAAATGTCTAGTTGTTTCATACTGATTGCGGTTAGAGTGTCAGCCCTCAACATGGGCAGAAAGTACTTTTGTGTCCTGTAGCCAAGGGTTGCAACACGGTCGGCGCGAACCCGTCCGCGTTGTTACAAAATCTTGGAGGTGCGCGGCTGGGTGCTCAGACCCTCTTCATGCCGACCGCGACTGCGCAAAAGCGCCCCGCCGACCAACCTGATTCAATGAGTCGCAATGTGCAGCACATAGCTAATTTACACAACATTATTTTTCCACGAAAACACTGTGGAAAGATTTGAAGTCTGGCTAGCAAGCCAGCCTTTCTGTTAAACATACTGTCTGATCATATTAACCATTTGGTAGCCATAGGTAAAGATGTTCAGAGAAATGCGTGCTAGCTTGAAGGTAACTTAATACAGCTTTCTGGTTCATTATTATCTCAGGCAACATTAAAGTGACAGGTGGTCAACAAATGTAATAAGGTAGGCCAGAGGGAATATAAACTTAATGAAAACCAGCAGGAGCAAAACATCAGGTTCATATATTGATAATGTCACATATTGTATGATAGAAGATGTGTGAAAATATTGCCATACTTGATGACTGTATTATTATGCTCTCTCAGACGCTACTTGCATAGTGACTGCCCTTCACATCACCCCTTAGTGGAACATGCCCTGTTCTGCAAATTCATCTCATTTATAAAAAGGGACTGAAGGTTGGGAGCATGGGTTCTTCATGTTTCACTGAAGCTTTATCAAAAAGTTAGAACAGAACATCGACAAGCAATTGCGTTTTCTTATTGTTTGCACTGCTTCTTTAGTAGGTCTGAATGCTAAAATCGTCCGTAAATTCACACATTAAAGCTGATATTTAAAAAGAAATCTTTCCAGGGGGGCATGGCCCCGGACCCCCCTAGTGGGTTTGGATCCATGTCACCTTTTTTATCCCTGATGAGTCTGCACCCTTGTGCTTTAATCTTAGAGAGACTTACCTCTGTTAACCTCAACAAAATTCATCTTTAATATAATGAGATGACTTCTTCAAGCATGTTTAAAAATTATAGCCCCCTTCCATCCTCGTAACCACGCCTCTTCCTCTTTTTGAGGTGAGTGTTAATATACTGAGTGATAATATAATATCAAACTAATATTCATATTTAGCCAAGTAAAGTTCTTTTCATAGTACTGGCAAGCCCATTACAGTTGAAACTGGGTATACATAGGTTCTCATTATCTTTCATATATATAGAAGTGTCACAGGTGTGGAAAATCAGGAACTGGACCCAAGTGCAGAATGAAAAATAAAACTATTTATTTAAACAAAAAGGCAAAAACTAAAACTTTTTATCTAAATGTCCAAACTGAGAAAATCCAAAAACTGATAACCACTGAGAAAAACTAGGAAACACTGACACCTTAACATACGACAAACAACACTGGCAACTTACAACACCGACAAACGACAATGAACTGACACAGAAGGGAAGAAACAGGTGAGACTAACAAGACACAGGTGAGGACAATCAGAGCAATCAAGGCAGGGAGAAAACACAAGATGAGAAACACTGAGGACAATACCAAATAAATCATGAAACACTGAAGACATACAGAACTCAAGAATGTAACAACCACTAAAACCTAAAGAACGCTAGGATATGAAGATACAAAAGAACATGAAACACTAAAGACTAAACTATGAAACATTAAGACAAAAACACACAAGAGTCACAGAGGGAAAAATAAACTACAAAATATAACTGGAAACACTAAAGACTCAATTTACCAAGAACGATACACACTAGGACAAAGAAACACAGGTATAGGAAATACAAAATAAAAACAGTAGAAACTAAGCTAGGAAACGAGAACTACTAAAACAGGAAATATAAACTGAAAATACAAACTACATAAGACCAAATCATGACAAGAAGGGGAGGGAAAAAATGGAAAATATGCAATAAATGCATTTTAAGACTTGTAGTCACTTAATTTGATAACCTTATGTAATCTAGCTTCACTTATTTTCCAATGTATGCAGAAACAACATAAAACACAACAAAAAACAAAGGAAATATTAGGAAACCTAAAATTAAAATGTGTAGCCAAACACACGATCATCAAAGAATAAGGTAAGACAAAAGGGGATTTCATTTATAAATGATCGTGCCTATGCATAACTCATCAAGATCAGGGTTCAGCATTATAAGCAGGTGGAAATAGCTAAGGTGTACTGTCCATCGATGTAAAGTTTATCAGAAACGAGTCTTACCCTTTTTTTTTCTGTCCTGCTTGAGCTCCCGGTATAGGGGGAAAAGTTTATTTCTCCTCTCTGCAACCTCCACAGGGAACTGCTCACTAATGCCAAAAGGTTTTCCAGAAAGACGCCAGACAAGGCCAAAAAACAAATCCTCTCATAAGTTCGTCCTCCTTGCGCGTCTGCTTAAGAAGATCTACAGTTGATTTTATTTTGTTATTCAGTTTCTTTATCTCATCTTGCATGGTGTCCAATATATCAAGCTTCTGTAGTTTATTATTAATTTCTTTTAGAACATATTATTGACTGAGAAGACTTGGTCAATCATAGCTGCTTTCAAAGTCCCATATGGCTAGCTTATTTGGCTGACTTGAGGACTTGGTTGTGTTTTCACAGATTGAATCAGCTGCTGATTATCAAACAGAAACTTCTGACTTAACAAAACAGGCTCAGGAAGTAGGCCTCGCCAAAAAGGAAAAATTTGCACAAATGAAATCAGGGAGCTCCTGAAACACATTCAGTACATTGAGCGGTGATATAATGTTTTAAATGTCCTGCATTTTATCAAAGTTTACCACCCGACGTGGCTGACCAACCTGATCACTCGCTCATGCTCAGTCAGTTTCAACAAGCGAATGCAGCAACTGTGATTTCTTTCTTATTTTATCTTTTATCTCTGATCTATCTTCTGTTTTGTGACACAACTCCCAAAGTCCCTCACGGATATAGCAAAAGAAAGAAAGAAACACGTACAAAGAACAACTCATAAATCACAAGATACATTATCTTTTTATTTTCTTGTACAATATGTTGAATACAATGTAAGTTAAGGGCGATATTTTTTCTGTAGTAGTCTATCTTTTTTTCTGCCATTTTTTCCTTCTTCTTTTCTATGGTTAAAAAAAAAAAGCACCTGAAAATGAACTAGGGATGCAGATCCCTTGTGCTTGTCTCATTCTGTTTTTGATTATCATGTCTCCGCCATAGCAACACAATGTAATTCCAGACATATCACAATTTAATCAGGAAATAAAGTACAATTACAGCTTTATTGATTTAACCTTTATTTATCCAAGTTAGTGCCATTGAGATCAAATATCGCTTTGTGTGAAATGTCCAATTGAACTTTGCTCTATGCCCCTGGATTGAAAGATACATAATATATATTATTTAACCCTGATATTGTTATCAGAATTCTGAACTCCATCCAGTCATTAATGTACCTTCTCCTCATTGATAATATTTTTTGAAATACTGAAGTATTTCTGTTTGTTGCAATCCTGTTGTGTCGCATTGTTGGAAAGGTAGCCATTAATGTTGGTCTTGCAAAGGACTTTCCCTGGCCTTTAGTTTCTATGAGCCACGGAAGACAATTAAGAGACAGTGAATATCAGTAAACCGATTCAGAAAAGGAATAAAAGTGTGAAGTCCTTTTGTGATCACAGCAACTTTAATCATTACCTTTTTTTGGTTCATATTTCAGCAGAATAACAAAAAGGAATTGAATTAATTTTCTTGTGTTTCCTGCGACAGGTTGATTTTCACATCCTGGAGGCAAACTCCGCTCTCCTGACATGGGACCTGCTGACCTCAGATAGGGAACGACAACCTACGAGAACGCACACACACACAAACAGACACACACAAACATGTCTGGGAGTAGTGTTTGACAGACAGGTATTTACAAAGTGACTGTAATTTCCTTGTATGTGTTTGGTACCTGTCAGAGCCATAGCCAGTCGCAGCTCTTCTTTAAGTACTTCTAGAAGATCAGTTACTCCCTGTTCCCCCTGGATACACAACAATAAAAAAATATTTTCAGTTTTAGAGAGTTATTATGTTGAGTGCATTTGGTTAGACAAACAATTAACCTGAAATTTAGGTTAATTGCTGTAGTGATTCACCTCACAGGCAAGGCCCCAAAGCACAGGTCTGCCAATGAAGACAGCTTTTGCTCCAAGAGCTATAGCCTTCAGGACATCTGTCCCTCGCCTCACTCCTCCGTCCAGGTAGACATCACAACGGCCTTGTACTGCCTTCACCACTTCCTCCAACACGTCCAGCTATATACACAAACACACTGGCTTTAGTTTATGATATTGTAACATAAAGTACAATTTAAAGAGTTTTTTCTTATCCTAATCATATTGTCAGTAAATACAGTGACAAAAAAAAGTAAAACAAAAGTTCCCTGATACCTTGCTACATGTGCTTCCACTTAATGTATGTAGTTACTTCCTGAGACTCTGTTATCATAATGCTTCTGTAGGGTAGGGAGAAGAACCATGGCAACTTATAGTAATAGACTTCGATATTGATTCAATAATACACTGAGAAATACAGAAATACCCCGATAATTGATAACCGTATACCTTCTGATATTTGTTAAATAAATATGTGTGCATTATTTCTGTTGATTTAGAACAAACTAACTCTGAAATGCATTTGATCGTTACATTATTCTTATGGGCTCCACAGAGTGCAGTGGTTAGCGCTGTTGCCTCACACAAGAAGTTTCCTATTTTGAATCCCCGTCGGACAGAAACCTTACTGTATGGAGTTTGTATATTCTCCACATGCATGCATGCGGTTGATTGGTGACTCTAAATTGCATGTAGGAATTAATGGTTGGCTGCTTGTCTATCTCTATCTTATTAAACATAAAAGTACAGGATGCTCTCATGTGCACATCTGTGCCTGAGCTAAATTTACAGCACAAAAGTGCGAAACGAAAACGGACTTCCAAACTCCAATCGATCTGCAGAGATCGATCTTGCACCTTTAAGAAAAAGCTAAAGACCCAGCTCTTTCATGAACACCTACACACTTAATGATATTAATGATGAGAATAATGATGATTATGATGACTATGGTTTTGTTTGATAATGACGATTTTAGGATGGTTTTTATGCTGATTGGAACTCTCAAAAACAGCTGTCGATGTTGTGCTTTGCCTCTGTGCATTGCCTGTCAGCACCTGTGTCCAATCAGACTTAAAGCTGTTTGTTTGCACTTACTGACATATTTTGTTTTGTTAAGTTTGTCATTTGTAATTAAAAAAACTACAACGAAAGAACAGAATCCGCTATATGACGCTATAATAATAACTTTTGCCTTTATAGCAATACCTTGTGTAGTTAGACAGAACAACAATATCAATAAAAAGTGGAGAGAAGAGCATACTAGTCAACAAGAAACATGATGCAGCCATGTAATTACACAGAGATCGTAGCGGTCACATGGTTATTTACTAAAATAAATATAAAGAATAGTTTTGCTCAACGATGACCCAGGAAAGACATTAAGCACTCGGCATCCAGAAAGACAAGAACGTTGGCTGTAAAAAAGGCAAAGTTGAATTTTAAAGGTTTCTTTAGATTGTTTTCACATTTCTTTTAACAAAAACCTGTTTTTTAATTACTGAGACAAGTGTAAAGCTACAGTATATAAAGAGCAACATTAAGATTTGTTCAGATGCCACAATTACATTTTTTGTAAGCCTATAATAGGATTTCAGATATTGTTGCAGTACATAAAAGTGAAGAGCATTTTTCAGTCAGCAAAAAGAAATTAAACAAGCACACAAATCACAAAAACACACAGACCGTGGCAGGTACTCCATCCAGTTGTCGAGCTCCATGATTAGATACCAGGATGCCATCAACCCCATATTTTAGTGCCTGGACCGCATCTTCACCTGCCCATAGAATAACAGACAGACATTGCTCGATAAAATCACTGAACCAGACATGCTATATAGAAATGCCAGGTTGTGGTGCAAATGCATTCCTCACAGGTTAAAATCAAGTTGTTTCATTCATTTAAATTTCAATTGTCAATTAGGGCATTCTAACTTGTTTAAATTATCTCCTTTTGTAGGGGAGTCTCGTTGTGCTCCCACCCAGTAAAATTACCTTAGATCAAGGTGAGCAACTGGGAAACATGAGGCCCCCCTCCTCAAACATTCTGGCCCACAAGTCTTATTCAAATATCAATAAATTGCTCACGTGAAGAAAACATTAGTACATTTCCCATTAAGGATTTAAACCTGACCAACACCATGCACCAAGACCAAACAGATTACAACATCTGTTTTGTTCTTCTAAAGAAATTAATAGATACAACTTATTGTAATTGTTTCTGTAAAACTATGTTGGGGTGGCAGTGGTTAAGTGGTAGAGATGGTTGTCTCTCAACTGGAAGGTTGGGGTTTCAATCCCCAGCTCCTGCAGCTACATGTCTGATGTGTCCTTGGGCAAGACACTTGAACCTGATTTGCTCCTGCTGCAGTGTGTGAATGTGTATGAATGTATAAGTAAATACTGATGGACACGTAAATGGACTTGAGCTTGCAAAGCGCTTTTCTAGTTTTCTGATTTTTCAATTTCTTTTACCTCACAGGTCACACCTAGAATTTTACACCCGTTCACACACTGATGGCGGTAGCTGCTTTGTAAGGTGACCATCAGAATGAACTAATTCCATTCAGACACATTCATACTCCACCAATGAAGCAGCGGGAGCTGCTCCGGATTAAGTGTCTTGCCCAAGGTCACATGACTGCAGGAGCTGGGGATCGAACCCCCAACCTTCCTGTAGAGAGATGACCAACTCCACCAACTGAGCCACAGCAGCCTGGGTAGGTGTTACCTGCTGTGTAAAAAGTGCCTTAAATTGAGATTAGAAATGTGCTATACAAGCTTAAGCCTGTTAACCATTTATGGTATATGCAAAACTAAATGTATTTAAAAACATGTAGATGTAAATAAGATATTCTTTAAAAAAACGCATTGAAAAAGTAGCTTAGATTGGCTTCAATTCTGTGTTTAGCTAATTACTATTTCCATTTGGTAGTATAAATATGATATTTATTTATTCAAATTCTCAATTCAATTAAAAGTAATTAAATACAAGTTGTAACAATTTGTCCTTTTAGCAGTGAGAATAGAGTTAATGTGGCCCTCTTGGTAACCAAAGTTGCCCATGCCTAACTTAGATGTTTTTCTGAGATGTTTATTTGAGGTTGCCGCACAAAAAACACCAACCAGAATATACATTTTTAGACACTTCAAATCCATTATCCATTATTATTCCTCAATAAGTTTGAGCATGGATACAAATAAAGTCAAAGAGAGTTTAGAAAACACAAAAATCTTATTCTGTTTTGTAATTAATGGGTTTCCTGTTAGTTTATCAATAAAATAGAGCTTTAACTTTTCTTTTTTAATATAACATAAAAGTGTATGTGTGTTCTCTATAATAACAAACAACTGCACTTTTTATTTGGGGTGAGGAAAAGGGGAGTGTAGGTGTGTGTGCTTGTGTGCATTTAACAATACCATTCAGAACTCCTTTCACAATCACAGGCAGATGTGTTTGCTTCTTTAGCCAGGTGATGTCATCCCAACAGAGAGTTGGATCGATTGATTTTGCAACATAAACAGCCAAACCACTGTCTTTGCCGTAGTTCCCCTCAGAGAAAGCCAGTGACGCTGTTGAGAAGTTGGACATGCTGGAAACACACCACACATCCACACACACACCAGCCCACCAAACCCCCCATCCCCCACACAGAGAGAGAGAGTTAAGAGTTGTGATGGAATTTGGCAATTAATTATATATTAAATCCTATGGCTGTTGTGTTTGGTTCCTACCTCAGATGTGGGGGCAGTTTAAAGTGGTTGCGCATATCGTCCCATCTTCTCCCAAGATATGGTGTATCCACGGTAACAAAGATAGCCTTATATCCTGCTGCCTCTGCCCGGCGAACCAATGAAAGTGTCAGCTCTCTGTCTTTATAGATGTAAAGCTGCAGCCACAGAACACAGCCACCATCCTGGGAATCAATCACTGCTGACATCACTTCTTCTATAGTGGAAGTGGCCCAGGAGCTCAGCATCATCCCTGTTCCCAATGTTTGGCATGCTTAAAAACAAATATTAATGGTGGTCAAAGTCACAGCAGTTGAAGAGGACTCATTTAAGAACAAAGTCTACCAAGAACCTTGTAAAATTTTAGACATGCTTCTCCAGTGATCCCTATGATATTTAAAAAAACCAAAAACGGCTAACTTCCTTCTGATCATTCTTTTTATGTCATTGTCATGTCATTCTTTTTATGTCATTGTCATGTCAAATTCATTCATTCAGTCATTGTAATATTAAAAAACTAAAAGTAAGGTATTTTACCTGCTATTTGTAAAGTGTCTCAAGATAACACTTGTTATGAATTGGCACTATACAAATAAAGATTGATTGATGGATTATCGAAGACCACAGGGTCAGTATGGTTTCCCTTGCATGCTGGCACACTTGCATGTGGCCACTGAAAATAACCCTTCAAGATATTAACCATACCGTGTCTGACCAATATGATCCATAGTCTTTGAGATGGAATTTTTTTTTGCTCTGGTCAATGTATTCTGTCATCAACAGACAGCTCTGCCCCACCTTTTCTTTTGTCTGCCTTTTCTTCCCAGGCAGCTAGCATCACTGGTAAGATCCAGACAATAATCTCTATCTCTATTTTCTAAGGTGGGTACCAATAAGGGTACTGTTCATAAGGGAATTAATCAATAACATCAACATCATGCAGCACTGTATGGTTCTCCCAGGAATATTGCTGAACAACATCTGCTAAGAGTCAATCAAATTGGTCAAATAATAATTGATAGTTTTCCCACATATCACTGGGGGACACAACTTTTCACACCACACCACACCACTTATAAAAATGTTAAATATTTTCATCTTTACGTTGAGTATAAAATGTGTGTACTGTATGTGAAGACAACTGTATATGTAAACATTTTTTTTAATCATACTTTTGAGAGTCTGAAGAGGATGCATGTTATCTATCTTGAGATTTGCTGTTTGCAATGACATTTTGCAATGTCCAGGTGGCTGGAACCTACCTGTTCCTTTTGAACAAATTTCTGGAAAGTATCTTTGGACCCTAATATTTATTTACTGCAATAACGACAGAGGTGAGAAACATTCTAAGTTATGGGCGACATTGTTCATCAGAAAGACCCCAAATGGGGTCAAGTTGTTGTAGACTGAAGAAAGAATGAACACTTTTAATTTCATGAAGAAAAAAATATATTCAATATGATTTTGTGAACAACAGCAACTGATTTGATTCAGGATTCATTAATAAATGTTAGTGTTAGAATAACAACTAAGTTCATTCAGTTAGGCTATACGATTTTTATAGGAGTTCCAGTGTTCTTATAAAGCTGCTCACAGTCATTTATTACCAAAAGCTGTAATCAGAAAAGACTTATATTTATAGTTAAAAGACTTATATATTAATAAACTTCAGTTACCAGGCCTGACTAAACATAAGGTAGATTTATGTGTGCGTGTGAGGGAAGCACCATCTCCTGGCGACACCCCGTGATTGAATACATGGGCGTGTTTACAGATGATGATAATAACGATGACAATGACGGTCAAATGGAAATATTCAAACCTGCTCATCCATTTTCTGTCTTTTGCCACTTTTTCATCTTTTGGTTTTTATGGTGGTTGGCATCCATAAGCATTGTATTATTGTCATCTTCTGGATCTTGCGATCGAAAAGTGCAATATCTTTACATAGGGTACCAAATTGTTCCCTCCTCATGTCAGTATCGATTTTTAAAACTCACATAAAAACACATCTGATTTGCGCAAGTCCTTCCCTCAGCGTGAGATCAAAAAGAGAAGCAACAGAAGCAAGATACACAACAACAATGCTCTCCAGAGGTCTGCATTTTCAGGGCTTTGTCTCTCTGCTGCTTAGTCAGACAATAACAATGTAATAACAATTCCACCTCTCGTTATCATTAGTTTTTGACCAACAAATTTATCAAAGATGTGTGGATCCTTCAATCTTTCTTTTTGCATCCTCATTTTAAATTTAGCTTAGACTCAAATTCCACAATTCCATCCTGTACATAATTAAACAGGTAAAATAAGGTGGAATCATACCCACTGTCAAATACCAGGATTATTTCAAACCAATTTAAGGAGTGAATCATAACAAATAATCAACAGAGGTAAACACTGTACACATTATGGTTTCCACAGAAAATGTCGCGGATGCATTACGGATTACACTTAGACTTGAACATCACTGTGGAAACATCGGTCTAATGTAATTAAGCAAATGTCCTTATTGGCTTTCATTTTGATGATGACAGTGAATAACACTATTTTGATATGTTTTTTTTGTTTTGTTGAGTCAGTCTTTTTGATTAGACATAGCAGCTGATTGCAAAATAGTATCCCTAATGTCATTGAATATTGATATTTCAAGATGCAAATAATTGGCAAATAATAATAACCACTGCACTCAGCTCAAGTTACATTTTGTATTAATATTCACATACTGTGTGATTTTGAGAGAGTTTACCTCTTGCTGTTGCTATTTCCCCCTCAGGATGAGCCATCCTCTGCATTGCTGTGGCAGCAACACAGATAGGCATGCTGAGCTTCTGGCCCAATAGAGAGACAGACAGATCCACTGTGGACACGTCCCTCAGTACCCGCGGGACAAGATTCCACCTGAACTCACGCACACACATGTAAACATATATTCATTAGCTCTTTCTGAAACATTAGCAAAACTAAACAAACCCCTTAATGTTATTAGCATTTCCACCTCCGTAATGTTACTATGCGTACTAGCAACAGGTGTAGCCTAGCATGCTAGTGTACAGCTTAACATCTCTATTTCCACACATAACTGCAAAATTACTGAACTTTAAACATAATGCTTTAATGACAGATATTTACAACACTCTTAACTATTTTACTTGTCTCCATGCCTGTGGTTTTAAGGACATAACCCCAGTTGTATGTGAACAAAAGTCAACAAAGTTAAGCTTGCGTTCAGCTAAGCTTCAGGATTTATTCTGCAACACTTGCCTCTTTAGGTTATTATTGGTGCTTTTCATATACCATAACAATACATGGCAAGATAGTTTACGCACAAAAATTTAGAAGATAGAGTTTATAGATAGAACTTTACGATACTTTTGTGTGATAATAATGGATCTAAAGTGGGAACACTGCTTATAAAGCTTAATAAATCATTTATTATGCACTTATTAACAGTTAATAAAGCTCCTTTGCAGGTACTGGATCTAAAGTGGTAACACTGCTTATAAAGCTTAATAAATCATTTATTATGCACTTATTAACAGTTAATAAAGCTCCTTTGCAGGTACTGGATCTAAAGTGGGAACATTGCTTATAAAGGTTATTAATAAGGGTGCAATGATAGATTGGCATGTGATCGGAACCGGCCGGTTTTCAGTCTGCTCGGCCCTGACCGGTGACCGGTCCCTAAGAGTATAGCCAATTTGATCAAACTCACACACAAGAGCATTTACATGCCTCGCGCACAGCAACACAAACACTAATGGATGGCCGAACACAAAAAGCTAACATGTCGGCTGTGAAGAAGTGAAAAGGGTTTGATATACAGGTGGAGAAACTCACACCGCTTCCCTGCACTCGCTCCCTCTTCGCCTCTTGGCCCATGGCAGATCCACAAGTATAGTATAGTACAAAATAGTTTGCTTTAGCAGTCCATAATAGACCTTTGAAGACAGAAAATCGGTATTGACCAAAAATCGAAATCAGTCAGAAAAATTGCAATCGGTTCCTCTCTAGTTAATAAATCCTTTATTATGCACTTATTAACACTTAATGAAGCTCCTTTGCAGTCACTGGATCTAAAATGGGAACACTGCTTATAAGGATTAATAAATACTTTATTATGCACTTATTAACAGTTCAGTGGGAGCAGGGTCCAGATGAGTAAATGTTTAAAACTCATTGATAAAAGATGGATGTGGAACTTTTCATATTTCACAACTTTCAAGTAAACACAGAAACAAAAAGTTTTTGAATTAAAAAAGGTTTTACAAATAAAGCCGTATTTTAAATTTCTTGCCATATTTTAAAGCTGATCCTGATTTAAACTGCGCTGATTTTAAGCAAGGCCATATTCCCTGTAACTATTTTTCTGAAGATACCTTTAAGTGTGGAGAAAAATATTAATAACGATAATTGGCAGTCTACCAAAACAATTTGATTGTCTTATTGAAAACGTTTCTGTACTCCCTATACATTTTTCAGTAAATGGTTTGACTGAAACTTGGCTAAACAGCCAGAAAGTGTCTATGTTGGTGTATCCCTCTTTGCTAAGGAGAACACTCAGTCTTCCCTCCGAAATGATCTTGTGTCCTTGGTTGAAGATGAAGCAGAGGCTGTCTTTTTAGAGCTTGTTGGGCCTTTCTCTAGAAACAAGGTTATTGTTGGCTGTAATTATGATCTGTGAAGAAACTGCTTTTGAAAGCTGCTGCACTGTTGCTGTATTTGCTGCTGTGATAAAAACATCATGTAAATTATTGCCTTGTCTAAGCTACATTGTCTGTAAACATATTCTCTTTCTCAGAGGCCCATTTTCAGAAAGCAGGTTAAGTGCAAATTCTGAGTCTGTTAACCCTGAAATGATGGAAACTCTTGGTTTTCTATTTCAGAAAGGGAAGTCACGGGGCGCTGGTGGCGCAGTGGTTAGTGCGCACGCCCCATGTATGGAGGCCATGGTCCTCCAAGCGGGCGGCCCAGGTTCAAATCCAGCATGTGGCTCCTTTCCCTCATGTCATTCCCCACTCTCCCTCTCCCTGAGTTCCATGTCTATCCACTGTCCTGTCTCTCCAATAAAGGCAGAAAATGCCCCAAAAATAAATCTTTTAAAAAAAGAAAGGGAAGTCACCTGAGAAAGAGGGGTTACTCAAGCCCATTCCAGGCATACAGTGTGTCTAATCCATAAACTGTAAATATAAATCACGCTACTGTCATGCAGTTTCCTTACCTCTCTATGAAACCCTCAAGTTCAGCTTTTATATTATTAAGCTACTGTGACCAATGAAAGTTATTATTATGCTCATCTACTAAACTAATAGGCTATCTTTTTAAGTGATTTAAGGCAGTACGATTCATGCTAGAATGCATAAACTGAATGTTAATAAAGGCCTAATGTAGGCCTATAGCTTTTTAATGAAGGACGAGATCCTTTCTGATTGGCTAATATAGTCTACAAAAGGTGCAACTCAAGCATTTTGTAATAACCACCACAATTTGTAAAAATAGGCTATTAGGATAGGATATGATAGGATAGGATAGGATAGGATAGGATAGGATAGTACTTTATTGATCCCCAGAGGGGAAATTCAGGCGTTGCAGCAGCACAGACAAGTAAGGTCACACTATTACAAACTATACAAATATTAGGCTACATATGGCGATAAGGACGATGATTACAGAGAGCGACAGATTGTTCCAAAATGTGGGAGTTATTATAATGAAGTGAAAATGTATTACATTATGAGTTATTAGGCTGCATACAGCGGTGTTATATAATACAAGTCTCTAGCGGCCATAGAAAATGTAAAGGTGCTGACAAAATGCCAGCACAATTTTAGTTACTTTGCCACAGGAACCTGCTCTGCCTGCAGTGACATTTGGAGTATATGTCTAAATGTATGCTGTTTTGGGGTTAATTTTTAATTTGGCTTCTTGCTACAAAACTGTCCTCAAGAGTTAAGAGATAGCCTATGCATATGTGGTGTGGCCTACCTGTTAAAAGCAGCTTCATTGTCAGCCAGGGTATGTTGCTCATCCGCTCCTGAGTGGTAGTAATCATACACAGCTTTAGGCAGAATTTTCCTGGCTTCTTTCTCAAAATCTGACACACACACTCGCTGCATTGACATTGTGTTCATCTAAACACAAAGACCCTTTGGCAGACCACTGTTTGTTGCTCACTGACAGAGATAAGAGGTGATGTAATCATTAACCTGCTGAATGAATGCCTTGGTTAAACATTTCTCTTCTCGTTTTTTTAAGCCCTGTTCGGGTAACACATTTCTAAACTATATTATGCCAGAATAAACAGAGGATCGTTGGCATTGCAGTATGACTCTTGATCACCTGATCCTTAACATCATCTCTATTTTTTTGTAGACTTTTACATATTTCTGAGATAAAAGTGGCTGTGGACTTTGCACCTTGAGAAGGAGCATCAAAGGTCATTTAAACTTCACCTCTTTTCTGTTAACAAGTCCCATCTAGCTTATGTGAGGGGTGCCGCCAAGACCTCAGGGCCCCATGAAAAGATATCACAATGGGTCCCACCATCACAGACCAAACTAACCCCAGCTCCATCACACAAATGACCCAATCAAACTTTAAACAATATTCTGAACATGGGATATAAAGTGTTACCGGCAATTTTTCTCTCTAATGGGCCCTGACTTGTGCCTCTTTGCCAGTCTTTTAATCCTTGTGACAACGTTGAGGGATGTATTCCAGTCAGAAAAACTTGAGAACCTTGCAAGAAAGCTGTGTATTTCAAGAGCATTTGTCTTCTGAGCCTTTACCTCTGGGTCAACAACGAGAAGCTCTGGGGAATCTTGCCATAAAAACTTAGGCCCAGTGAGCCAGTTTGAGGCAATCAAGTCTGCCACCTTGAAACCCCTAGCAGCATGGCCAGCTGGACTTAGATCTGTTTCGATGTAGAACCATTGTCTTGGATTTGTTGAGTCTCTTGTTTTCTGGATGAGATTAGCAACAAATACATGAAAGCGCCAAGTTTCATTTTTAATGTACTCAAGCACCACCTTCTGGTTTTCTGTCCAGAAAAACTCCTTATCTTTCCTCAGTTCAAGCTCTGTTCTGAGGAAGTACTTACTCCAGCAGAAACTGCGGCTGCAGTGAGCTCAAGGCGTGGGATGGTGACACTATATAATTTTTTACAAGATTTTACAGGTCACAGAGCCATTTGGTCTTGAGTGCAGGGGGAACAGGCTCATCCCATCCAACAACACACTTGCACATTTCTTGCTCAACTTGTTTTCCATAGAAGATGTAGGGAGAGAGAAATCCTAATGGATCATACAAACTTGCAACTGTTGCTAGGATTCCTCGTTGTGTGGCTTGCATTTCTTTGAGGATGACACTGAATGAGACATGAGACATCAGCCTCTACATTCCACTTTACTCCAAGTACACTCTGCATTGGAACCTCATTGTAGTTCAGATTTACATCTTTCCTGTCACTTGATAGTTCTGTCTCTGGAATCGCATCCAGGACCTCTCTGTTGTTGCACACTAATTGGTGTAAATGCAGCTTTCCTTTGACACAGATTTCTTGTGCTTCATTGACCAGCTTTTTTGCATTGTCAACTGAATCAAAGCTGATGAGCTCATCATCCACATAGACATTTTTGAGAATGAAGCTGGCTGAAAAAGAAGATAGGGTGATCATTTTAAAAAACTACCTGAAGAAGACCTCTGGTCGAAACGTAGTGATCAATAAAACCCCCTTTTTTGCAGCAATTTATCAAGTGTGCGGGGCTATCTTCTTTCTCAGTTTTGCTATTTTTGCACTGCCCTGCACCTACGTGATGTGCGTCTAACTACTACTTCTTTTTCTAATGAAGCTGGCTGCACAAGGATAGTGTAGATCATTCCCTTGATGATCGCTCTGTTTGTTTACTACAGGCCACCGTAACAGGTGTGTGTTTATTCTGATCAGCGCCACTGGAGTGCTCAGTTATTACATGTCATGCTTGATGAGTGACACAGCATCTGTGCTCTCCTGCTCTCGGTTAATAAATGACCCAGTGGTCAATAATATTGTCTTCTCATTCACACTCATGCACTGGGTGTCAGAAATAGTACAAACTCCTCGCCTGTGAGTATTTTGTCGTCGGACAAAGTAAAAGTGCCGGGACTTTTTTATGCTAACAAGCTACTAGCTAAAGCTACGCTACGTTGCAACAATGGCGGATGGATTTCGACATCTTTATCGCCGCAGCGCACTTCGACAAGCCTGCTAGGACGAAGGCTTATATCCTCCTCAATCTTGCAGGACCAGATGCCAATGAACGAGAGCACTCGTTTGTCTATGCAGCTGAAGTAAGAGCACCCAGTGACGATGGAGCAGTAATCACTCCAACAGAGTCCAGAGAGGATCCTGAATGTGTAAAGAGAAAATTCCGTGAAATATGCAATCCACAAAATAACAAAATAATGGAGAGACACAAGTTTAATTCAAGAAATCAGAAACAATGTGAGAGCATCAAGTCATTCATCAGTGATCTGAGGATTAAAGCTAAAAGCTGCCATTTTGGAGATTTGACTGATGAACTTGTCTGTGACTGGATAGTGTGTGGCATCACTAATGACACTCTTAGAAAATCCCTGTTAAGAGACAGTGAATAAACATTAACCAAAGCCATTTCTCTCTGTCGCATCCACGAATGAGGAGAGTAGCAAAACACTAGCCATTCAAGCTACTAGTGTTGATATATTACGCCCAGTTTCCTTCAGAAAGTACCAGCCAAAGTCCCCATCATTTTCTCAGTCCCAGCCCATCACCAACTGCAGTAACTGTGGTGGTACACACGGCTAAGCGGGAAAAATGTCCAGCTTTCGGACAGCAGTGTCATAGCTGCAAGAAACTAAATCATAACAAGAAGTGCTGTAAATCAAAAACACACAGTCAAAACGGCTTTAAGAAAGAAACTTTCAGACAATCTGTGCACGAAATAGCAATACATGAGCCTGCAATGTGTAAGGAGGACACTTTCTCTATCGTATCGAGACTATCTTTCCACTATATATTCCATATGTAATGCGCTGACCACGGGTCAGGTGACGTTGTGGACAATTACCTTTTAGACAATCCACCTGTGAGGTGGCTAATGACAGTAGAAGAGCACCTGTGCACCACACTGTCACTGATCATTTTGATTCCACGAGAGCAGGTTGGAGGTTGTGTGAATTAAAACTGTGCTACTAGGAGGAGACAGTATTTGCCAATACCGAAGTGTAAGAGAGAGTGGGGGTTTTCCTCTCGGGGTTGCTGTTTGTCGGGCTGTCAGCTATCACCGTTTCTCACAGTCCGTGCCTGGCGTATTGTTCTGTTGAAGGACTGACACGCCATAGGTACGAAGCTTACACGACTAATCCCGGCCACGGGAGAGGCGGTAGTGCTGTCGGTTGTGAGTAATCCAAAACGGACGTTCCAAAACGGACGTTCCTGACGTATTGCTCTGGCGAGGGGTTCACGCGCCATAGGAATAAACTGTCTGTCCAAACTGTGGGGAGGCGGTGGTGTTGTGCACATAGGCACAACAGCTCTAGCTCTAGCCAGCTGGCACTTCCTCATTCTCAATCGCGGTGTCAACCTCTTGCGAGATTAAGAGCCACGGCCATAACTGTGAGGGTTGTGGTGTGCAGATGCCCATTGAGGATGGACATGATAAATGTGTATTGTGTCTGGGAGTTAACCAGCTACTTGGGCAAGAGAGAACCCTTCATCGTGCATGAATTGCTTTATTTTGCCATTATGGTCCTTGGAGGCCCGCTTCAGTGTGTTTGGAAGGAAGGAGCAGGTTGCTCCACCCACTGGGTCCCGGCAGGCTAAGCGCCTCAGGGGGGCGGAGCCTGGCTGTGGCTCCAGGAACCTCCTTCCTGTTCCCCCTCTCAGGATGATGTTGACTGATTTAACTATCAAGACTGAGGGGGATGAGGAAGATCAAGAGGTTGATGTGGATGTGCTGGGGCACTTTGTCGACGACCTTCCTCTGTGGCAAGAGGAGGCTGCTCTGGCACCGGAGGAGGTGGAAAGGGGCAGTGAGCTCCGCCTATTCAGAGAACTGATGGGGCAGGCAGCACAGGCATTGGGGGTAGATACCACAATAGGCCAGGCACCTGCGCCATCATGCTTTGATGAGGGTATGGAGACACGGCCGATGCCATTTCTGGTGCCTCTTCTCCCAGATGTCGAGGAGTGGATGCAGGCTGGGTTTGCCAAACCCACAGAACCATTGAAATTCTCGACCAAGTAGACGGTTGTCTGCTATGCAGGATTGAGAAAAGGTTGGCTGTGCAGCACTGCCACCTTTGGACCAGACCACTGCAGCCCTCATGTTCCCTTCAGGCTCTGTTCAGGGGAAACCTAGCTGCCCGACGAAGGGGTGCAGAATGTTGGATGCCTCTCTGGTTAAGGTCAACAGGGCAATGGCAGTTCAGGCGCAGCTGGCTAATACAGGGTCCATATTGGTACTGTATCATCGGCAGCTGGCGAGTGAGCTGGGTGCAGGATATGATATGTGCATTGTATTGGAACTGCAGCTTGTTTCATCTGTCATGGCACAGTTGGTGAAGGAGCAGGTTGCAGCTGCTGGGAAAGGCATAGCGTCTCTCTGGGTGACGAGACGCCAGCTTTGATTGTCACAGTCTGGGTTGCAGCCCGAGGACAAAAGCTGCATTCTGAAACTGGCCGTTGATCCCTCAGCCATGTTTGGACCAGGTGCTAAGGCTATGTTGCAACAGGCCCAAGAAGCGTGTCACTGTGCCCACAAAGTTTCTGGTGCACTGGTAAAGCATCGTAGGTGGCGGGGGACTGAACAGTCCAGCCGGGCCCCTGCCCCAATGCAGGGGCCAAGCTTGGACTCTGGAGACCTCAGATTATCTTGGACGCTCGCCGTGGCAGGGGACGAGGTAAAGGCAAGCAGAGTGAGGGGGCCCAGGTCAAAGGACGGCCTAAACCCCCGCCTCGCTCCTGATGCTAGTCCGGGCCCAGCCTGCGGCTGCCTGGCTGGTGCACGTCTCACAGCTTGGAAGTTGCTGGGTGGAGCCCCTGGGTAATTTCTACCATGACCCAGGGATATCGTATTCAATTTGCCTGCCATCCACCAACCTCAAACACTCTGACTGTCTACACAGTGGTGGATCCAAAAGTCAAGGCTG